GTCCAGGGAGCTGCTGCATGTGCTCAGAGGCTTCTTGCTCACACACGTGTGTTTGAAAAGCTCGTGTTCGTTGGCCGATCTGTGGATTAGAAGCTCAAGCCCAGTCATGCCCGTGCAGCGAGACTTCCTCCTTTCCGATTCTTGGTGCTCGTGTCACAGGGCAATGAGAGGCCACACCTCCTTCCCGGAGGCTGCAGCGTTGGACGTGCTGCTGTCCCTTGGTGGCAGCCTGAGGAAGGTGTCAGGCAGACGTTTCAGGGCAAGGAGCTTCCAGGCCTTTCAGACAGAGTATCAGAAGGCCCCTGCGTGGCTCGATATCGGAAGGCCCCTGCGTGGCTTGCTCTGGCCAGAGGACATGCCCACAAATGCCTGCTGTATTTTTTTAACATATGCATTTTATTACGTTTTTACTGCATCTAACCACTGTGTATCCCTGCAGCATGCAGTCAATTTCCCCAGCACGAGTCCACTGTACGTATGTCACATGTTGTCATCAGCAGGTAATTCCCCACGTTTTGCTTCTTTCTTTTCCCCCTTGGCCTCCTCCCTCCTCCCACACTGTCTTTAGCATCCACAATCGTCCTCCATGTTTTGATATCTCCCAGTCTTTCCGTTTCCGCCATGGAGCGCAGACATCTGAATATACTGAGCAGAGACATCCAACCCCTCTCTTTTACATTGCTGGTTTCGCTCAGCAGTGAATCTTCCACACTCACCCCCTTCCTGTCAAAGCCAGGGTTTCTCTGCTTTTTACGGCCGCGTGGCCTTCCGTGGCGTATCTGTGCCACAGTTTTTGGTCCATTCACCTGTTCATGGACATGTGGGTTGGTTCCGTGTCTTAGCAGTCGTGAGTAACGCTGCCGTGAGCATGGACGTGCACGTGTTTTTCCGACTGAGTGCATTCCTCTCCTTTGGTAGATCCCCAGGACTGGAATGGCTGGGCCATGCAGCAGTTCTGTTTGTAGGTCTCTGAGGACCCTCCGTATCATTCTCCACCTGCTGTATTTTGTGCCGGTCGCCAAGGACACGCAGAACCAGAGGTGCCCACAGAGGCTCGACCCCTCGTGTGCCTGGTGAGACGCAGTCCTCTGGGCGGTGTTTAGGCCCGGTCTCCCTGGGGACAGCCCCCAGTCCTGACCAGCAGTGGTTCTTTGCCAAGTGTGACGCTCCACACCTCTCCCTGACCCCACTGACCTGACCTCAGACCTGCCACATCCTTTCTTGAAAGAGTCAGCACGGTCTCCACTTCAGAGCTGTGCCCAGAGCTTTACCGGCCGAAGAGCTCAGGGGCGTCGCTCTGCACTGTGCTGGGCATCCAGGGCTCTGGGGTCTAGGGCTCTAGGGTTCTGGGTTCGACCCACCGGTTCAGCTGGAAAGGCAGTTTCCGAGCTGTGGCAGTTTCTGGTCCTAGGGTCCCGCGTTAGTTCCCTTATAGCTAGTGTAATTAGTGCCACTTATGTATGTGGCTAAAAATAAATATCCTACCCCAGGACTAGATGGAGTATTTTTTTGTGTAATTGAATTTCCTAACACTGATATTTGTCATCCCTAAAGAAAATGTATTGGTTTGTTTTAAAAAGAAAGTGTATTTGGAAATAAAGTCAGATGGAGAATTCATTTTACAAAATTCCCTTTTTGTCACTTTCTCTGATAAAAGATGGCCATGTCACCCCTTTGCAGCCCTGTGTACCCCAGGACCTTCTCCAGAGCTGGGCCGAGCACACAGGAGTTTGGCTTCACGTCTGAGGCAGTAAGGCACTCAGGAAGGTGCAGCCTGTCTCCCTGTGCTGCAGGGTCTGGGGCTCATGTGCAGCGTCCTCCTCCCCATTCCCAGGTCTCCTCCAGAGAGCCGCCATTCTCGCGGGTGGCCCTCGTTTCTCTCTTCTCTCCAGCTGAAGTAGTTATCAAAAAAATAAAATAAAATAAA